TATGTATGTATGTATGTACGTATCAGTACAAGTCTCCTTACAGATAAGTGTATCCGTACATTCCATTGCATAATGCATAAGATGCAGCGAAGTGTAGATAGGGATTCCGCATTGGGGTATTGCAACATTCAGATTTGATAGGTCCCCAAGCACACGTAGAACACGCAAAGCACCCCATAAACGAACCCTGGAAGCGGAAACCATTTGTTGACTGGAGCCCAAGAGCCCTAACCCCTAGGTAGCTGGAACCCAAGGGTTAGCCCTGGGCCCCAATTAAACCCAAGGGTTAGATGCAGGAGCCGGAGCCACGCCCGGAAGCATCCCCGGCCACCCGGGCGAGCCTGCAGCTGGCTGAATTGGATCTTAAACAGATCTTCGTTTCAGGGCTTAGTGGTTTTTTTGGGGGGGGTTTGGGGTTTAGGGCTTGTAAGAGCTTAGGATCCGAATCTGGGATCCCATTAGGGCTATGTGGGCTTCAAGCTTTACGGTGTAGAATGAAGGGTTAGAGATCAGACAGAAGGAGATGACAGTATTCATGAAGCAGCAGCAGGAGGCAGGGCCAGACCAGACTTTGGAGCGAGCAGGCCTGGAGGCAATGACTGAGAAGAAAGCCATCACCAAACAGCAAAGCCTTTTTAGGGTTTAGGGTTTAGGGTAGCCGGGCACCTGGGCTGATGGGTTTGGATTTTAACTACAATACTACGTTGTCTTTGTGATAGTGTTTTTTGCTGCTTCTTTTTGCATATTTTTGAACCGACCACAGTACAGTCCGTAGTACAGGACAAGAAGAGGAGGGCTTTGGAAATTTTGGCCGAAGGGTCAGACCCGCATGCAGAGACGACCTTGAACACTTGCCGGGAGGAGATGGCGGAGATAAAAGTAGCTGTCTGGGAAGTTAAGTTTGAGCGATAAAGGCTATGTTATGGAGCTTTTCAACCCAAGTAGAATAATGTATCAATTTCACCAAAGGGATATTGACGCTGGTATGTTGATTATGGGTCTAGGGGGCTGTAGCCGGCAAAAGTAGGACCTCAACTTGGAACATCAGTATCCTCACACCCTCAAGAGCAAGTATAAGGCCACCCACTATTCGTACCAAGTTTTTTTGTTTTTTTTTCTCGGGTTCGTTGTAGATGGGCTGTAATTTATTGAATCTTAGGGCAGCAGTTGTCGGATTTTCTTTCATGTTCAAAGGAACACTGAAGTCTGCATTGCATAGAGTTCAGTGACGAATAAGCCTAAACCCTAAACCCACCGATGAACAGTTTTGTTGATGGTTCAGCAGCCAATGCCTTCGAACCGCAAACCCTACACGCTGAGGTTCTTAAACCGTACAAAACCGGATGTCTCACAAACCCGATGAGGCCCCCCAAGGCCCCTTCTAACATAGGGGCCGTAACTATTAGAATAGGCTTCGGGCGCATATTCTACTATGGTTTAGGGGCTTCATTATGATAATAATTAGAGTAGGGTTTTTGGGTGCATATTCTACCATGATTTAGAGGCCTCATTTTGATAATAATCAGAATAGGGTGCGGGTGAATGTTATAGTATCATGATGAGACGGAGCCCTCATGAATATGGCAATTATGCGGGGCCCTAGCTTAACCTGGTTTCCCGAAACCCCGTAATAAGAGGTTCGGGGTACTTGTCATTTCCTTGCAACTGTACTTAAAACCCAAATACATATGGCCTATAAGCATTAATCTAGAGATATACATATATATATGTGGGGTATCAGCACAGCAATTGTTTGCTTACCAGCCACATGAAACTCGAACTTATCCATCGGCATCGAAGCAACTCGTACTAGTATCCCCATCGATCCCCTTATGGCCTTTGCCTTTTTATTTAACTATACTTAACTACCCGCTCCAAACCGCAAGTGTGGAGTATTCATGTATCGTAAACGCTAAACTCTAAACCCCTAAACCACCCACGCCCGAACTCCCAACCCTGATAGAACGCTTAAAAGACCCCCGTCTCGACCCGTTCTAAGAACCCTTATAAGAGCCTCATGGGCAATTTTCTCTAAATTAGGGTCCCTTTTCGTAAGGGTGCCGTACGTAGTATATTGGGGACCCATCCTGTTCCAGAGAACTACCTTCATGGATCCCTTATATCCTTTTTTGTTTAGGCTTTGTGGCCGTGGCTGTCGTAGGCGCGCGAACTCAATCACCCGATCATGGGCCTACAGACCTTAATCTTTGCAATAGGGCTTTGGTACAGGACAGGCTATGGGATATACGGTCAGGGACTCATGCAGAGCGAATCCTCCCTCTGGGTGTTCCTTTGTGGAATCCTTTGCAATTTGAAAGCCATGGTACCATACAGCTACGGGGCGATAAGACTATGGTTTGCGTTTTGGGTCTGCGGGTGCTATAGGTAACAGTCCCTGATACAGGAAGTACTAGGGCCCTGCATGGTATAAACCCTGCAGCGTACACCCGAAAATCGTCATGGGTCTACTGCAAAAGCTGAGGCGTTGACGGCGTCATGCTGGTGCAGCGGTGTGGCCTGAACCCGATGGCCAGGATCCACTCCAAGCCCAAATTCCCAAATCATCCGAGGAATTAGGGTTTAGGGGATCCAAATCATCCGAGGAGTTTTTTATAGGAACCCGAAATGCGGGAACCGAAGGACTTTATGCAGGGCTTCCCCGAGCCTTAATAATTACCTATAATATATGTTGGGGGCCCCTTGCTATAATTGTATTCTCAAGGGCCCCCCAAACCCGATTCTGATTATCAAGGTCCCCTTTTTTTTAGGATTTCTTGAGGGCTTAGCTTTCCGATGCTTCGGAAACTCAGGGGCTGAGCCTCACATAGAAACAGCTGGACCCGTCACTCCCTGATGGGGAGGAGCAAGCAGAGCTAGGGCAATAGGGTTATAGGGTGCAGTGCAGGGTTTTTAGGCTTTTGCAGTGTAGGGCTCAGGCTCTGGGGTAAAAAATGCAGGATTTATAAGGTTTTGGGCTTAAGGCTTCGGGCTTCGCTCCACTACGGAGCAAAGCGCCGGCAGCCCTTCCAAGTGATCACTCCTATACAGCGAATTTGCCGCATACTGAACTGCTTCGACACCTGCATTCATTCCGAAGCTCAGAAGCAAGTCTTCTTGCAGTCCGCAGCTCCCGGGGCTCGGACGCCTAGCCCGGGCCGTGCATCTATACGTAGTCTGTGAAAGCTTGCAATCGTGAGAGTGGCCACATGGCGGCGTGCTGGCTCTTGTGCCTCGCCGTCTTCTCTTACCCCCTGTCAGCTGAACGCCCGGGGCTCAGCATTGCGCAAACTTTTGTGCGTCCGCCCGGCCTGCTGCGCCCCTCCTGAAGGCGTTGCCCACAAGCGAATCCTGCACAAGGCCGACAGCTTTCTGACTCGACGCGCGGAGCCAAGTTCCAAGGCCAAGGCCGTCTGCGTTCAAGCTTTCAGGCGCCCGTTTCCCCCCCACCCTGCATCGCAATTCCTCCTTGATCTGCCGGCTCCGCCGGCTCCAGGTCACGGAGCCAGGGAGTTCGTGCAGGACTCCTCGAGCGAATCAGTGACTGACACGATCTGATACGTTACCGTGCTGTGCAAGCTTTGTATTCCTTTGTGACCTCACCTACAACACTCCGCTGTGCAGGAGACATCAAACGGCACCAGCGCGGATGTCAAGGCGCCGGCCCAGTCCTTGTGCATATGGTGAGAGGTTTTTTTCCCTAAATCCGGTGCAGGTGGTGTCGCAGGGGGAGCGCCCTCCGGTAGATAATGTCGAAGACGAGATTTGAGAGAACTATAACGATTAAAGGTAGATCCCCGAAGCAATCATGCCCGAAGATGAGAGGCCTTGAAGCCTCAGAAACTCTGAGTTCAGCTTCAGGGCTTACTATGATTATGGTTTATAGGATTTACGTAGGGTGCTCAAGGTTCCTTATATTTTTGCTCTACAGGTATACATATAGTGTCGGGCTTATTATGGTTTATACAGGCTTTATACTACGGTTTACCCTAAGCCCTAAACCCTAAATCCTAATTATATGTAAGAAGCTCGAAGTTCCGGTTCAGGGCGCCAAAGGATGTTTAAGGCTTACTATGGTTTGTAGGATTTACGTAGGGTGCTCATGTTGTTGGTCTTATACAGGTATTTATACGGTTTAGAGCGTCGAAACATCCAGTTCAGGTCGGCCTTCCGAAGTGTTCGGACGGTGTCCTCCAGCTCGACGGAGTCTACGAGGCCCATGCGGCGTGCCCTTTTGCGCTTTGAGTCGGGGTTTGGGGATGTGTCGGGTTTACTTGGGTTTAGGGGATTTCGGGTTTAGGGCCTTGATAGGGTTTAAAAGGATATCGGGCTTGAGCTTTGGCCGCGCTGCTTTCGAGGCAACGGGACTCTGCTTTAAATCGGTGTGGCACTTCCTGGGCGCGGAGCGCTGTAGTTCGACCATGTTCGACCTCCACCAAAAAAGTCGCAACCCCACCTCCTCAACGTGGGACTCCGTCAGGTGAAGAAGCAGGAGGAGGTCCTCGCGGAGGGGCCTTCGTGCCGAGTGACAGGGAGTGGGAGCCTGAGAGCTGGGAGGACAGGCAGAGGAGTCGAAGCTGTTGGCCTTGCCCCGTTGTCGAGGTGCCGAGCTGCTCCTTTGGGCTCCCGTCCGCTTCCAGGGCAACCTGGTCCTCGCAGGGCAGCTGAACGTAAAGGCTGCCGGCGACGGTGGCAGGGTCAACGCCTCCTGCATCGCCGTCAACGGCAACTTTACATTGCGCCCAGAAGCTCGCCTCAGCATTCAAGGCTGCCAGAACGAGGCCGACGAGGGGGATGCAGGCTACGGAGGCTGCCTGCACGTCGGCCGTGATGCCGAACTTCTTGGCGGCCAGTTGCTTCTGCGTGACTGCGCTGCAAGTACTAGTACGGGGCTTGGAGGCGGCATCTACGTCAGAGGCCGGACCGGCATTTGCTGCTTTGACCTAGAAAACGCTGTCTTCGAACTTGCGCGTGAAGAGCTTTGAGACGCACACATGCTGCTAATGCCAAGCTGAGAGGTTCTGTGCAGCTGTGACTGTTGCAGGCCGACTGGAAAGTCGAAATGCGACGATCGATGCAGAAAGGTGCCATGCAGAGCATGGAGGTGGGGAGTGACAGCCCAAATAATTCGGAAGCTTCTAAGGTTTCCAAACTCGAGAGTGGGGGTCGGAATAAAAAGAGGGGGAGCAGGCCCAGGCAGGCCCGGCCCCGCAAGCGCCGGTTTCGGGTTTGGGGTTGTGCAGGCTTGCAAAGTTTGGGGCTTCCCGCCTTAGAGTTGGCGGTGGGGTTTGCCCACATATCTCGCAAGTTTGATCGGTCTCACATT